ATTCCACCCATAAATTTAATAATGTTCTATTTATACATATATCAAAATTTGTAGATATACTCACATTCATATTTTATATTTTATTGAATGATTGTATCTATTTACTTCCTCTCGTGTGCTTTAACATCACTATTAGCAAAGAATGTTGCTGTACTTTTATAAGGATCTCTATGGGAATGACATGACGGATCTGGTCATTTTATTCTCCAGAAGGCAGTTTTCATTAAATTATAACATTAAACATTTTTGATTTCTTAAATATCCATCGTGAATATGATGTATCGGGTGACCAACATGAGATCATGAAGGGATGTAGGGGAATGTACGGTAACGCCAATCTGACTCCTGCTTAACCCGCCCGATTAGCCCTTCCATGCTTTGGATTTGATGTATCAAGGGCGCCGCCAAGGGGATGCCCTTGTGGACAAATTTGTAATATTTGATTTTTAGACCCTTGCCACATAGTATGGAATTTCGAGAATCTACTTGTCTTTGCTTCATGGCAAATTACAGTTGTGTTTTTCTGACATGTTAAAACATTTTCTCTGACATCCCAATTCTAAAATGTTCTAGCGATCAACGCCCCCTGTCAACAGACACAAAGCGTATGGTACGCCTCTTGTGCATGCATGGTCGAGCCTCCCAGACGGTTTTGGGGGCATTAAACAGATCAATATGATCCGATTAATCTCGCTTAGGCTTTCTAATGTACACCCTTGGAAAGAGGCACTAGCTATGGTCCAGGGGATTGAAGGGATGCGTTGGTTGACGCTCGAAACTTCAGAATCCATTGCAAACTTGAGGTTTAAGGCTACACGGAGATAAACATGTATGACTCAAGACTACGCATACTCCTAGGTCCTTAACCTTTTAGTGCCCTTGATGTGATATAATATGAAACAAGAAAGTGAAGAGGTCTTACACAAAACCTGCTCTCTTTTATAAATGCGTACCAGCTGCTAACATTTGCCGTTGTATATTATTATGTAAAGCCTTTAAGAAAAGCTTAACATTCAAGTTCTCTTTTGACGCATCATTTTGTTTGCATTGTGTTGCCTTTGTTTCCTGTCTTTGTTTCTTGTCTTTGTCCTGTCATTATTTTGTCAGTTTTACGACCTTGCAGAGATCACGGATAAAAAACGATGGAGAGAGACAAAGAGGCACCTCAATAAGCCCTAATATGATTAACATACAGCAAACTATACTTGATTTAATTTAATTTTGTTTTCTATATTTGACATCTTAATGATATTTTCCAGATCAATGGGGATTTAAAGTCATTTTCATTTCATAATTATTTTTTTAAAGAGAGAGAGAGAGAGAGAGAGAGAATGCCAAATTGTGAGGAATTTCTTTACTTTTCTACCGACCATCGGCCGTTCACTGCTCGTTGACGCAAGACTGCGCTAGCGATCAATGCGGTCTTGAGAGCGAAAATGTAAACGCGAAATGAACAGTATTCTTGGAACTACTGGCGTAGGCACGAATTTCCTTCATAAGATTGATTAGTGCATTAGTGATAATGCATTCAAAATTACTGTTTTGATTGTTAAATTACTGTGTTCAACGTGCATAACAGTTGCTCTTATAACCTTTTCTACAAAGTCATAGAAAAGGAAAGAAATTAGAAATCCTGGTTATCATTGCGGGAAAGACACGTACAAATTAAGCTTATGTTTTCTTTATGAAAAAATGAATGAATCAAGTTCTTTATCAGAATATCGAGGTAAGTACAACATGAGGGCTATCAATACATAGGCATGTACGGGCAATGTGTTCTGTCATATAGAGAACAAAAACAAAAACAAGAATGGCGACAATCAATGAGATAATAAACTTAATATCAACGATGAGTGTTGATCAGATGTTTCATGAATATCGGGTATATAGGGCAGGAAATGTGGAGCGGAATTGTTCGAATTATCTGCATCCGTTTGAAGAATCTGACAACTTAAGATCATTCTGCATGCCACTTAGAATTTAAGTGACTTTAATTTGCGCATGTGTTAAGTACAGCTTCAAAAAGGTGCGTTAAGAGTCATCAATTACCTTGGAATACAGACCCGCAGGCTATATCGAGGGAATTTCAATTTCAATTCACTAGTCATATTATATCGTTACAAGCTCTAGCTCAATGTACCTTAAATAGCATTGTAATATCATTAAGTATGAAACACACCCAATAATGCGCTTATCAGTAGGTTTCTTGTACGTCTATGTCACAGGAATATTGCACAACTCATCCGAGAAAAAGAAAAAAAAACAGCGTCCTTATACAAGGGGGCAACGAATGTAAAAGATCCGAAAATTTTAACCAATTTTAACAAAAAGTTTATCGACACAGAGTTCTATGCACCGACATAACAGTAAAAGCATCGACACAAGTAAGAGGGATATCAATTGTTAGGGAGAGTAATTGCCCCAATTCTATGGATAAAGATAAGGTACGAACATTATCCGTCATGCTCATGGCTCTACCGTATAGTATTAGTACTTGTCTTTCTTTAGATTGTTTTAACTTTTCATTTTTTCCCTTTTCTCTTTAAGCTTTCCCGTCTGGCATTTGCACGTTTCTCGGCTTATCCCTCTAATTCTCCACCAAGTCGAGTAATTATAGAACCGTTTCCACGAACACATCTTCTCATCAGTCAATGCGATCTGTTTTAGGCTGCGAACCCCGACAGGGAGGAGTGTCTATGAGATGAAAGATGGGTAACAATCTTAGAAGAAGCCATCTTCAAGCTAATCGTTACCTTCTTATGAAAGGGAAGGGTTGATCTTCTTCAAGGCGGATACCTTGTAGTATCGTACCCTTCCCGATTCCTGGTAAAGTCCTTCAATCTTCATGCAAAGATAAACTTGATTTCTTTACTACTCAAACCGTAGCGCCGGATCACCAGGCGGATTGGGCGGCAATATAATATATTATCTCTAAAAATCACTCGTGCCACTGTTATGACAGACACTTTCCTTCCTCTTTTCAGATATCCTTGAAAGTTGGCTTGTCATCATATAATATCATGATAAAAATAGATATAAAATATACCATGGTCAGCAATATTTATTTTAAAATAAATGTGAATAAACTGTAGAGATAATTTGTTTAATGTCGATTAATAAAGAACACCTTGGAATTAGTAAACAAATATTGTTTAAAAATCCCCCCCTGTTTACAAGCGTTGAAGGTATTACGATTCCAACCATCTTTAATTCAACCCCTACGCATTTTATGTGCTTACATCGTGTGTAGTCAACTTTAAAAAAAAAAGACATTTAACTGTTTTATTAACACTTTTTATCAGTTTTGTTATACTTGAAATTTTTGAACTGTATACTTACTTTTTTTTAATATTTTGCTTTAATGTTTGAGTGGAAATAAATTTGATAAAATCGAATTCAATAACAAATGAAGAGTACTTCAGGCCAACACTAGTTTATTATATGCCTCTCTTTCTTTTCCTTTTTTCCCGTCTCATTCCGTTTTTCCTCTTCCTACTTATTTCCATTTTGAAAGTCTTAATTACATATTGTAGTTAAGGGGAGAACGGGGAAATGATAACTTAAAGTCGAATGAGGCAAGACTTGATCTGGTAGGCATATAAAGCACCCATACAGAATCACTTCTATTACATAGATTTTATAAATATATACATGTATACAGAAGGATATCTTTTATCACTATAATTTTGGCATCTTTAAAGCATTATTATGTATCGAAGTTCTAGAAGATTGTATGCTTTGTTTTGCTTGTTTGTTCTTTTTGTTGTGTTTTGCAGTACGGTCGTAGTCATGAGACAATTTCACTGTCTGTTTTAAGCGAGCACATTCATATTCAGCTCAGACAACCTTGAAGCCGATAAAACTAATGAGAAAATACATCAAAAAAATCTGCGATTATCATGTTCAGTCTTGTAATAATTTTGCTTTAAAAGGATAGATTAAGACTATGGAACCTATCCATGTATACTAAAGTTTACTAACACACTCACAAAGACTTTCGAAAAACAATCTGAAGGGCGATTTCAATACTCTTTGTATTGCCTAGATAGAAATCACATATGTAAATATGTACTACTCATTGTCATGTTCGCAAATTCGATAGGGTATAGCAAGTGAAATAGCCTTATAGGACGATTTCTTAAGGTCTTTGCGAATGTGTTCCTGTCTTTCATGATTATATCATGAGAATAAAAGATTGAGTTACTGATGTCTATGAACTTTTTTATAATTTTATGTACGAGTCTTGTGCAAGAGGATTCATTTCAAAGGTCGTTGTAAATAAAGCCACTATTCCGAGCTAACATGAACCAAAAAGCCAATTGAACAGTCTCATTTGTCAACACTTGAGAAGAATCTGTATCCTTTTCACTTAGCACCAACACATAGAACATTTTCGATTTTTGTGAAATCTTGTTTTCATCGTGTGTTACAAACGATGCACGTGTTCATTTTTAGCGACTCATCAGCGAATGAGTGACACCCCGTTGTGTAAATTTCCTTTAATTGATCCGCTACTCCACTCCTGCCGTGCAGGTTAATATCAGGTTTCCTACAGGTGTCCTAAACATAAGATAGAGCATCAATCGTCTAACCTGTAATTGCTAACGACAGCTCCTACTGCTAACAGCTAGGCTTTGATACTCCCCATTCCCGGATGATTTTGCAATTTTTTAAGTTAACCTGTAACTCATTAATGACTATAATTTCACATGTTTAATACTTTTAAAAAATATATTTCTGAATATTATCATTTTTATTTCCATCTTTCAAATCATCATGTCTTCAGATTTGCACTTTGGCCTATTTTTGTTATGCCGAACAAATAGAATCACTAGTAATAAAAACTATAGCTTTGACATCTAACATATTTGGAATGTCTAAATAGTTGTAGGTGGAGATCATGCAAACCTATTCTTAACATTAAATGAGAAGCAAATCAGAAAATCAGTCAGAATTATCAAGAGATATTTAGGGGAGAATATCAAAATTTAAAATCTTACCCAATACATGCTCTGCCAAATTGGAACCAGCCGGAAATCATCACCCTATCTGCTGGTGGGCATATAGCGAGCGCTGCTGGCAGGGCAAGCAAGCAGACACCCGCTGCAAACAAACATCCAGATAATTGCATCTTCCACCTTCTTTATCCGACCAAATCTAAAATGAAAATGCAGCAAGAAATTTTCTGATATCAATTTCACCGCTCACCGAATGATTGCGAGAGCATCAGACGATGGATTTAGCCGATAGAAAGTGGCGGCACACGCGAATCTGTAACTCGGTCCACAAACACTAATTGATCAGACGAGCACAATTTTTTGAGATTAATCTACGAGAAGCGCGCGGGAAACTATTCATCTCTATCGTGATTGGTTAAGAGTTAGAACTTACTAGTCTTGTTACGGTAGACTTTTTGTTTGTTATCAGGCTACACTTGCACAAGGCTTTATCAATTAAAGAACAAGTATTGGCCGGTATAACTCACGATTCTTTAAAAAAAGCTTTCAGATATCCGAAAATCTAGTTTCCGTCTATATTCCTCTCTCAACAAAAATAAAACCGAAATTATTTTTAGCCGTTACACATGTGTTGTTATAATATAGATATAATTTTGCTATGTTCTTGTCGTTATCTTATTAAGATATCATATCTTGGAAGCGACGTCTGATTTTAAAGATAATAAGAAAACTTTTATGTTACGTTTGGCAGCTTTAAATTCAAGAAAGGCTTTGCTGTTTCAGTCAATATTGTTATTTGCAAACACCGCGCCCCGCAAAGTATTACACTCTAAAAAATGGGTCTTTAGAGTCAAACTTAGCTTTAATTTGTACAATGAAACAGGGGAAGTCTGATCTTATATTACATCGCAAAAATCAGAATGAAATACGGTGAAAACTCGGTATAACGAGGACATTGGGACCACAAAAAAAATCACCTCCTTATGATAGTAATAATAATGAAACGTTTGGGTATAGTGCATAACACATAGCCTAGGCATAATTGCATGTCTCTATGCGCCATACAGAACAGAATACAAAAGGAGTGGAAATGGTGCATTGGGTTCATAATTGTGGGATCTTACAAAATGCAACATAGATATGTTCTCAAATTACTTCTGCACTTGTCATATGTTTCTAGATTTCTAGAGTATCCCGGCAAGCTATTACATAAAACAGTGGCTGCATATGGAAATAGCCTCTCTCCATATGATTTTGTCACAGTTTATGGGACATAAAATAAAGATTTTTTACTGGATTGCGGCATTCTTTCTGGTTTATACTGCAGGGACGGCTCCAGGGGGCATGAGGGCGCACGCACCCCCTCCCCATTTTACCTTCTACAAAAATATTCACATAAATGTTCAGTTAACTAATTCAGAAATGCCTCAGAATGTACCATTAAGGTTCAAAATTTTCAGGGGCCCTTAAGTGGACCCCGGTCCCCGCATCGCAAAGGCTTGGCGTTACAAATTTCGTACATTTCACGCCCCCCCCCCTGACAAATGCTGTGCTCTATTAAAAATTCAATGAGATATGATGGAGCATACTGACGGCAACATTGATAACTTAATAAAGTACTCTCAACTTGATACGGGACTTGATAGGTGGCCAATGTACATTGTCTCAGGTATTTCGTTATATCAGAGCTCTTTATCACAAACTTTAACTGTAAAATGTGACTACCAGGTAAGCTCAAACAGAGAGACTACTCATAGGCTCATTCTCGACCTTGCACTCTGTGTGTGTTTGTGGGCGATGAGTCCATTCCGCGCCCGGGAAGGGAAGAGTCTGAAGGTTAAATCCTATAGACAAAACTTTAAACAGGTGAATATACAGGGGACCTTTTCCCAAGGCAAAAACATTTAACTTCAAATAAAATGAAGGAATCCATTAATCCGTGGGTTAATCCCAGGGATTGTGGGGTATGAAGGTCTTTGAGGAGGAAGGGTTAGTCTTAATACGTTGACTGTACCGCACCCTTAAAAACATCCATGTATTATCTAGTCAAGTCAAATTATTGGACGATTGAAAAACAAAGAATACAGTATACCTTCATCTACATGGAAATCTCTTTGAAACCTAAAAAAGTCGAGATAGCTCTCCCACTAAACTCGACAGGTGGTTCAGTCTAATTCCCACATGGTCACCCTGACCGTAAAAATATGATGATGAATATAATTCATAAAATTATAGTTTATACCAAACAATAAGACAATAAATATACAAGTACAAAATTAAAGTATATTCATGATCAATATAGAATAAAATAATGCACTTCTCACTTCTTTCGTTTCTCCTATTCACTGATCTTCATTTTGTATCAATTCATCTGGAACATTTTCATATTTAATGACAATAGTTTGCAGCTTCTATAATAATCATCCAGGTCATATAGTCAGACAATGGTTAATATGATGACAGAGCTTCGGACACCTGAACACAAGGACCGGATGTGCTTCAAAGCGTCACCGTCGCTGAGTGATGTCTTCGATAACTTTCTTCTGGAGTGACCCCATTCACTTCTAGAGTTGAAATTATGGTAATTTCATATTCGATCATTATTTCATTTCCAGAGTGCGTGTGTCAAGCGTAGAGGCTAGACTAGATTCAATGTCGTTATCTAATTAGGCCTGAAAGACTTATACAGAAGAGGGGAAATGTGTTAAAGGTAAAAGCGATAATCATAAGTCACATTCTATAAACTATGTTTATTGTTATCATTAATAGTAGCTACAGTCTGTAGGTAGTAGAAGTAGTAATAGTGGTAATTTTATTATTATTATTAGTAGTAGTAGTAGTAGTAGTAGTAGTAGTAGTAGTAGTAGTAGTAGTAGTAGTAGTGGTAGTAATAGTAATAGTAGTCGTAGAAGTAGTAGTAGAAGTAGTAGTAGTATCATTTTTTTTTTCATTTTCCCTTTTTCCCCCTCCAATATGCTGCATAAGAATACCGTATTCCCATTGTCGTTGCGTAGTTCACTTTTCAGTTGGATGAACATAATCAGTCGTGTCAGTAGTATAGATTCACGTGCAATTGGACTTGCAGAACATACAGTGACTGCTAACCGTCTATGAGTAATACAATAGGGTTGACCATAATCATATATTGTTTAGAATATAATACCGGGCATTAGGCCAAGGTATACAATGGATTAAAACTAGTCCACTTATCTCATTTACAACTGATACATTGTTTTCCATTAAATTAGTGATTAACTTTCGCTAAATTTACCTAATTGATGTAGCATACTTCCTCCGCCCTTTAATCCAAGTTCCCCTCTCTTTCCATCTCTTTTTTTTTTCTCTCTCTCTCTCTCTCTCTCTCTCTCTCTCTTTCTATCTCTTTCTCCCTCTCCCCCTCTCACCCTCTCTCTCTTTCTCCCTCTCCTCCACTCTCTCTCTTTCCCCTTCCCTTTTTCCTACCCGTCTATTGATTTGATACAAAAAATCATACTCTTACGTTATTGAACATTTAGATTACATTCAGACACGCTTCAATAAAAGCAGAAGATTTCGAATACATTGAATGCTGCCTTTAAATCTTAAGAGTTTACCAATTTTTTTCATATTTAGTGACTTGCGTAGCTTGTCATTCAACTGATGAGGTCTAGAGAAAGCAGTCGGTAGATAATTATGAGATTAGAAGGGAGTCTTCAAGGTCACATCGTTTATACTACCTCAGACATTGAACTGAATAATTACGACGACGATTTTCTATGATTCATTCCTAGCGGTTTTGATCTTCGTAAATACCTCTCGACCTGCATTCACATTCATGTTGCATCGCCAGATTATTATGGATTATACCTCATAGAATGAATGGCTATATTCAAGTTTGTATATTAAATCTAGGTATGCGCCTTGGCCCCAAATTCGAGGAATGTAGTTTGAGCTCAAGAAATCTTGAAAAAAGAAGGAAGAATCTTTGTTTAATATTAGTCCTATTGTGAAATTTAAAGATCAAATGCATTGTTCTTACTTCAGCTTGAATCTTCCTTGGCCGTACAATTATTGTTTCCGATAGAAGTCAGGAGATAAACGAGAGGGAAAGAAAGAGAGAGAGAGAGAAGGCGAGGGAGAGAGAGAGAGAGAGAGAGAGAGAGAGAGGGAGAGAGAGAGAAGCAGACTATACACAGTCAAATACTGAAGGAAGAAAACACAAGAAACGGTTACATAGAGAAAGGAATATGGGTATTTGAGAGGGAAGGAAAGCCAATTGTTAATCAGAGATGCTCATTCTCCCTCTTAGAAACTTTAGAGGAAGATGATGCACTTCCCTTTCTTCCTCTGTGTATGCCTTTCATAACTAGAGAAGAAGACACAATGATTGTGTGCCTTGCCAAGTTATCATCACCACGCTCATAAAGAGCAGGTGTTTAAAATGTGACACGCTTATACAATGGCGTATCCATCAAAGGGTATAACGCCCCCATCCATTTGAAGGACAGCAATAAAGAAACAGTGAAACAGTGAAATGGATCTACGGCATGCAGGGCTGCCCAGATACAGACCCGCCCCCTCCCCCCTTTCACTCATCAATTTCGGGATACGCCCCTGCTACGAGCACGTTCCATTTGACTACTTGCACGACAGTTTCGTGCGGTTGATTGTGAGATAAGCTCAAAGCATGGAGTTCCCTTGCTCCCATCTCCCTGCTCAAAGTCAAGGTAAGCTTCGAAAGGTTCTTGACTCAACCTGAAAAAGGCCAGACATCCTCTGACGTTGCCATGATAACCACAAATTGTGTAAAATGGAATGCAGCTTTCATGAGTCATTAGAAATGGATTGCTTGTACACAATCACTCAGTTGATGCGAAATATAATTGTGAATCTGACATATAATTTTTATGAACAACATGTCGAAAAAAATATGTAATAAATCGAAATAAACAAATAGACAAGGAATACATTTGTATAGCAGATACATTGCAGATATTCTAGACCCTGTTTCATAATAATAATAATAATAATAATAATAATAGTGGGTTCATGACACTTATCATCAATACATTCTGATACCTGTTATAAACTACTGATATAGTTGCATTTGATTGGTTGTTGGCAAATGTTGTTATAGAGGAAACGTGACAGTTGATATCAATTGTAAATTTTATGAAACGGGGCCCAGATTTTAGATTATTGATACTTTTTACTCTTAATCTTTTACATTTTTTCTAACGATGGTACATGTAAGGTCAAAGGTGGTATGAGATATAAATTTACCCATCTATAATTGAATCAAAGCTTACAACCAACGAGAAGATATCATCATCATCAATCTAGACCTCAAATTAAAATACTGTACAGATTGCCTTCGAAAATAGGCTGATGACATTTGGAACTTTTGCAATATATTTACATTTTCTTTAAATGTGGTGTTTGTAATCAACATTCATAACAACGTTTTAAACAAATGGTTAGACATAAGCAGTTTACAGCATTTTAATTGTATGACATAATTCAGTTGAGTGTCAGTTTCAGTTTATTTTCATATTTTACATGTTGTATAATACATCGTCACATTTGGCATGTAACATTTTTATTTAATACAAACGAAGAGAATAAAACATAAGATTAAGTTAAATAAAGGGATAAATATGATGGAGTCTAAAGAGAAAGCAATTCTTGTAGGTCATAAGCTCCGGAAGTTATAACATTGATATAGTCTTGTGTATAATAGATAACGTAATAGGATTAAATTTGAACTTATTCTAAGGAATAGGTAAACATCGGTCATTTAGGTATATGACCAATGTTACCCCATTCCTTAAAATACTTGTGTTACATTATCACTACCTGTACGCAATGGCAATTGTCATTGGAGCGTACCAAAATGTAGAACTAAGCCCAGTCAGTGCTTTTGTATTATTATACTTCCTAGAATCCTAGTAGTCAATAAAGAATTTTAATTCACAAGGGAGAATGATTTAATTGTCATCCTCTAGATCCCATTAAAAATACCCAAGATCTTGATTAATGACAATGGCATAACATTTTCAGTTGATGCTAATTTTTTAAAGAATAACAATCACCAATTCACGTTTTTCCTTTGATGTAAGGAGTTCCATGTAGCTTTACTGTATTAAAAACAAGAGCTTCAGGTATAACTTCTACAGAGAGATACTGCGGTTTAAATAAACTCCCAGTTAATATTAAAACGCCTTGTTGAGAAGACTGTTTTAACGTCCGCGTATGCAATCAAATAGAATAGGCACAGAAACCAAGTCCGACTTGGGTCCCGTGCGAGCCTTTTACGCAGGGTTTTATGTTATCCTTTATGTTCCTCATACTACATTACTGTTTATTCATACAATGTTGGTTATTATACATTCTAGCTGTGCACAAATTATTGTTTCAGGTGATTGGAACACAGTAGCTTTAGGTCGTTCAAAACCAAGAAGAAGAAAAAATAACCAAAGAAACGTGCAGGAAAACACATCGACTGGACAGCACAACTTTTACTTCCACATAGGGACCATCAATACAGGGTATAGACTAGGGTTCTAGGGAACTGTGTGGAGGTGTCATGGTTTGGTAGCTCATTTACTTGACTCTCAATCCGGAAGTTGAGGGTTCGAACCCCAGCCTGGGACTAACATCCTTCGACAAGACATTCATTCACTTTTGGCACTCTCCACCCAGGTGTTAAATGGATACCCGGCAGGATGCGATAATCATTGCAGATTGTTCAGCATTGTATGACTGTCTTTGAAATTGTGCCTGGCTGGAATGCTCCACAGGGAGTGGAGAATGTGCATACTAGTACATTGTGTGCGGACAAGCTTGAATAAAATGACCAGTGTATTACCATATCATTAAAGGGATTAAAGACATCGTTGATGTTTTATTTTTGTACGCTCATTTAGCAGCTATATACATTTAAACTGGAATCTAGTGCATGTATATTCTGAGGATGTACTTCTTTCTAATGTTTTGTCTTGAAATATAATAAGTAAATTACTTAGCCAAGTGTAAGTGGAAAATTGTGAAATGATAACTCGCCTCATTTTTACATTACTTCAACTGGAATGTGTATTATGGCATGAGTTCTATTCTGCTGGTGGCATTACTCACAGTGAGATTCAAATTTGTCTACATTAATAATTTACAGCGGAATGGCATTGTTTATAGCCCTGTTCGCTCTTGTGCTCTTCTCAAACTGAACCCAAAATAGTTCCTGTCCATCTTCATCCTCTGTCCACAACATGTAAGGTCTGTTCCTACTCAGGAACAACCTGACAAGGTACGGCATGTTCTCATCCTCGATGTCCTCAACAAAGATCAAGATGACTTTGTCTAATCCTGTGTCATTAATGTGCTCCAGAGCCATACGGAGCTTGGTCATTGTCCAGGCATCATTGACAGACTGGTTGCTTAGCAGCAAGACTGTCTTGAAGCTGTTGTCGATGGCATCGTAGAGTGCGTTGATGTAGTACATGCCTAGGTGAAGGTCCTCGTCTCCGTAGATGATGTTTTGCAGATGTGGCAACCTCTCCTCCAGTGCAGGTTTCATAACCTGATTGACCCACTCCTCTTCTGTTTCCTGGAACATGAGGTTGAGATGATGACGATAGTTGCCAGCGTTGAAGTCCTCTTCCATTTCTGTGTAACCAACGATAGCAAGTTTGAGCAGGAAGATTTTATGATTCAGCCACAATCGTTTGTTGTACACTAGCAAAGCCATTACACCGACGAGTACACCTGAGAAAGAGAGAACCACAATGAGAATGATGTTCACACCGCAATGATCCTCAGGATGGAACGACAGGATCGGTTTATCTGCGAATTCCTTCAATGAAGTACCAGAGCACAACGTCTGGTCCGCGTTTTTTAAGTCGATGTTGGCTGAGTGGAGCCACTGCCTAAACCATGTTAACGAGCATGTACATGTGAAGGGGTTTCTAGACACATCCAAGCGAAGAGAGCTATTGGATGGCAACACCGTTCCAGGTTTAATGATACTGATTTGATTTCCAGAAAGAAGGAGGATCTTTAGTTTAGGATTCTGGGCAAAAGTTGTTACCTCCAGACCACGAAGGCCGTTGTTTTGGAGGTTAAAAAAATACAAGTAAGAGAGACCATGGAATGTGTCTCCTGCAATCTCCGCCAGTTTGTTACCACTGAGACGCAAGTCGGCAAGGGACGACAGAGGATGGAACACTCCATGCCTCAGCACATGAATATTTGAGTTGGTCATATCGAGATAGTAAAGTTTCGAAAGGTTGTAGAACACCCTACTATCCAGGCTGTGTAAATCGTTGTCTTTGAGACGTAGTCTCTTCAACGCATGGAGACCCGTAAATAGCGACTGATTGTTGACCACATCATATAAGTGACTGCCGGTCAGCTGTGCTTTCTCCATGCGTAGTTCATGAAGATGGGTCATATTAACAAATTGCTCTATTGAATCTCCGGAAATCTCGATACGAGTATTTGAAATACACAAAAAGAGAACTGTATGAAGTTGCTGAAAGGTATCTTGTAGGAATATAGTCTTCTGATTGGACAGGTATAGCCTTTGCAAGCTCCGAAGATCCTCAAATGCAGAGGGACTATATTGGTAGACTGGATTGAATGATAAACGAAATTCCGTTAGATTCGAAAGGCCATTCATTCTGCGTGGAAAAATAGACTTTATATCATTAAATGATAAATCAAGCATAAGGAGAGTCGTTAGTGTCCAAAGTCGTTTATAGCTGTTCAAATTTGTTATCTTATTATGGGACAGGAAAATTGATGTTATCGATGGCATTCCAGTAAAGGATTTAGGCGAAATAGTTTGTATCAAATTTTCTGATACATTCAATTTGGTCAAACTTGACAAACAGGCAAATGTATGAGGTGTTAAGGCTGCTATTTTATTGTATGAAATGTCAAGTTCTGTAAGTGATTGGAGCTTGCAGAAGGACTGATTACCAAAAGTTTTAATTTTGTTGTGAGTCAAAAAGAGGGCTTGAAGTTTTGTGAAACCCCAGTATGAATCAGCAGGTACATTTTCTATCGAATTACATCTCATGTCAAGAATAGATATGAATGGATAGTTGTCAAAGTGATACGATGCATTGCCAAGCGGAAGAAGATGATGAATTTCACAGCCGAAGACTGACAGTTCTTCGATGGAACCCATACCTAGAAAAGGTTGAATATCAAATGAAGTCATAAGATTATCGTCTAGTCGTAGACTCTGTACTGAGTTCAGATGATAAAATACACGATTGGGTAAATTCTTGATTTTATTTGAAATCAGTGAGAAATATTTGATGGAAGCATTTTGCAAAGCAAGGAAATCTCTCTTGTGAATTTTTTCCACCAGATTTTGAAAAAGGTCGATTCTTGTTAAATTATGCCATCTTGAACACCCGTCAAAGTTGAGACCTTGTATTTTGTTTTGCCTTAGATCCATGCTCGGCAGTCTTGTCAAGACTGCGAGTGTTTCACAGGGAACATCACTCAATTGATTTCCAGTCAAATACAACTTTGTAAGGAGAATGTTTTTGACAAAGAGCAGTGGTGACACAGTCTGTAGATTGCAGAAATTCAATATTAGAGTTCCCAGTTTTGGCAAAGACCACATGGTCTCGGTTTCAATAACCGAAAGTGGGTTATTAGATGCAATAAGAGTAACGAGATTTGGTACATCCTTGAAAGAGGCATTGTGGAGGATCGTAATGTTGTTTCCATACAGGTTAAGGACTGTTGCTTCCCTGGGTAAGCCGTCAGGAACATTCTGAAGCCCACTGTTTTCACAGTTGACAGTACGTTCATGACTTGAGTTGATGAAGCGGCACTTTGTACGATTCCTGTGGGATTCTGCAATAGGCGCAGTTTTCATCGACGGAAGCAGGCACAGGAAAACAAATCCCAATGCAACCAGCACTGAAATTAAGCGAGGAGTATGATTTGCCATGTTGGCAGCCATGGTTTTTCATTCACAAAGCTTGATTAATCAGACAATGTCATCAATACTCAACAGCGTATAAAGTAACAGTTTAAACGTAAACCTTCAAAATGAGCGCCTGACATGCTTTACTGTATGTCAGTATTTTGTTGACGCTATTCACTACACTGTAAACCGTCTTCCACCACCGACCAAAATGAATCTTGGAAAATCATGTTAAGAAACCATCATCATGTGTCATGTGACGACTTAATGACAATCATCTTCGATTTTGTTTTATATATTGCAAATGATGACATTCACTGGGCAAAATACTGGCAGTGGAGTTCACAACCATCGAAAATGATGACAATAGATGCACTGATGATACAAACACCGATAAAAGTTAATGGTACTTATGTAAATCAGTAGATGAAACCACTATTAGGCATCTGAAATAGCATAAAAAGCATCATTAATCATCATCAGTAAACCTTGTGGATCCATTACTGAACTTCACCATGCTTTCGAAACCAGGAAACAAGAGCTTGTAAAGATATGAGGTACATATTTGTTGTTATTGAACCACAATAAAGAATAGTAAATCAGTTACATGTATTTAAACACATTCAAGAACTTCGACCTTAAAGCCAGAATAAATGACAGTCACGGGGCAAAATAATGGCAGCGGTGTTCACAACCACCGAATATGATGACAATACATGCACTGATGATGCAAACACCGATAAAAGTTAATGGTACTTATGTAAATCAGTAGATGAAACCAGGGGCGTCGCCAAGGGGGGGGGGGGGTGTGGGGGAGTGACACCCATCCACCTGTCAGGATATTGTCGGTAAAATTGCGCTGCCGTCGGGAAAAAGAGAAAAGGGGAAGGGAAAACAAGAGAGGGAAAGGGAAAGAAAAGAAAAAGAAAAGGTAAAGAAAAGAAAGAAAGGAAAAGAAAGGAAAAGAAAGGAAAGAAAAGAGAAGAAAGAAAGAGAAAAAAAGAAAAAGAAGGAGGAGAGGAAAGAAGGGAAAAGAAAGAAAAGGGAAAAGAAAAAGAAAAAAAGAGTAAAAGGGAAACAAAAGAAACGGGGGTGAAAGAGAGGAGAGGTAAGAGCCTGAGAGAGGAGGAGTGGGAGTAAAAGAGAGAAGGGGGTTGTTGGGTGGAGTCATCTCGTCGAAACACGGGTAAATATGTTGCTATGTCGGGTCAGCTGTGTCGGTATTCTTGCTTGATCCCTGTGTACTATATCAATGCAGACGTTTGAAGTCGGTGAGATGTATATTGTCGGTCGGCCGACAAGTTTTTTTTTCACTACGAACTGTAACTTTTTATCCGCTGTGACGACTTCAAGAATGACTACAACTACAATACTTGTATTTTCTCGAAGCTTCACTTTCCTATAATATCAGCTAAAGTAATCAGAGGTTTTCAAATTTTCGGGGAAACTAGATTCAAACAAGGTTTAAGAGTCAACAACGGCACGACGAATCGTCTTCCTTTCTCTATATTGTGATGAAACGCCCCCCCCCCCAAAAAAAAAGGGGAAAACTGAATTCAGACAATTGGGGCTTATTAAGAGTCGAAAACAGTACAACGAATCGTCTTCATTCTCTAATAATTTAATGAAACGTCAAAACTCCCGCGCTTTGCGCGAGAGGAGGAGTAACTGAATTCAGACAAGGATTAACAGTCGAGAACGGTACAGCAAATCGACTTCTTTTCATAATAATTTAATGAAACGTCAAAGCTTTCGTGGTTCGCGCGGGAGGGTGGGGGAAACCTCATTTAGACGAGTCGAGAACGGTACAACGAATCGTCTTCTTTCTCTAATAATTTAATGAAACGTCAAAATTTCCGCGCTTCGCGCGTGGGGGAGGGCTTCATTCAGACAAGGATTAAGAGTCGAGCAAGGTTCAACGAATCGTCTACTTTCTCTAATAATTTAATGAAACGCCAAAACTTCCGCGCTTCGCGCGGGATGGGGAGAAACTGAATTTAGACAAGGATTAACAGAAGAGAACGGTACAGCAAATCGTCTTCTTTTCATAATAATTTAAGGAAACGTCAAAGCTTTCGCGCTTCGCGCGGGAGGGGGGGGGAACTTCATTTAGACAAGGATTAACAGTCGGGAAAGGTACAATAAATCGTCTTCTTTTCCTAATAATTTAGAGGCCTATCACCCACACCCACACTCCCTAATGAGTGATTCGCTTGCTCACTACCGACCTCCCTAAAATAAGATCCTAGCTCCGCGCCTGCATTAAAATATACCAGCTATGACTAAATTGACGAAATAATTCGTATATTTATGTCGTCGAGGAAAATGACCATTTGCGCTTATGCAAGTACTATAGATAGTCCATAGGAAAGACAATTTAGCCTTCGGCCCCGGGTTTATAGGGTTAAATTTGTAGATATTGGACATTTAATTTTGTCGGTAATTGGTCGCTAGTTTTGTCGGTAATCGTTGGTCTCTACACCCCCCTCCCCCCCCCCCCCCCCCCCACACTGAAAACGGTCTAGCGACGCCCCTGGATGAAACCACTATTATGCATCAGAAATAACATCAAAAGCATCATTAATCATCATCAGTAAACCATTTTGGATCCACTACTGAATTGCCCCATGCTTTCGAAACCAGAAAAACAAGAGCTAGGAGGTACATTTTTATTGTTAACGAAACACAAGAAAGAATAGTAAATCAGTTACATGTATTTAAACACATTCAAGAACTTCGACCTTAAAGCCAGAATAAATGACAGTCACTGGGCAAAATACTGGCAGCGGAGTTTACAACCACCGAAAATGATGACAATACATGCACTGATGATACAAACACCGATAAAATTCAATCGTACTTATGTAAATCAGTAGATGAAACCACTATTATGCATCAGAAATAACATCAAAAGCATCATTAATCATCATCAGTAAACCATTTTAGATCCACTACTGAATTGCCCCATGCTTTCGAAACCAGAAAAACAAGAGCTAGGAGGTACATTTTTATTGTTAACGAAACACAAGAAAGAATAGTGGGTCAGTTACATGTATTTAAACACATTCAAGAACTTCGACCTTAAAGCCAGAATAAATGACAGTCACGGGGCAAAATAATGGCAGCGGAGTTCACAACCACCGAAAATGATGACAATACTTGCACTGATGTTACAAACACCGATACAATTTAATGGTACTTATGTAAATCAGTGGATGAAGCCAGGGGCGTCGCCAAAGGGGGGGGGGTGGGGTGCGACACCCCTCCACCTGTCAGGATATTATCGGTAAAATTGCGCTGCCGTCTGGAAAAAAGAGAAAAGGGGAAGGGAAAACAAGAGAGGGAAAGAGAAAGAAAAGAAAAAGAAAAGGAAAAGAAAAGAAAGAAAGGAAAAGAAAGGAAAAGAAAGGAAAGAAAGGAGAAGAAAGAAAGAGAAAAAAGAAAAAGAGGGAGGAGAGGAAAGAAGGGAAAAGAAAGAAAAGGGAAAAGAAAAAGAAAAAAAGAGTACAAGGGAAACAAAAGAAACGGGGGTGAAAGAGAGGAGAGGTAAGAGCCTGAGAGAGGAGGAGTGGGAGTAAAAGAGAGAAGGGGGTTGTTGGGTGAAGTCATCTCGTCGAGGGAGCAAGAAAGACACGGGTAAATATGTTGCTATGTCGGGTCAGCTGTGTCGGTATTCTCGCTTGATCCCTGTGTACTATATATCAATGCAGACGTTTGAAGTCGGTGAGATGTATATTGTCGGTCGGCGACAAGTTTTTTTTCACTACGAACTGTGACTTTTTATCCGCTGTGACGACTTCAAGAGTGACTACAACTACAATACTTGTATTTTCTCGAAGTTTCACTTTCCTATAATATCAGCTAAAGAAATCAGAGGTTTAAAATTTTCGGGGAAACTAGATTCAAACAAGGTTTAAGAGTCAACAACGGCACGACGAATCTTCTTCCTTTCTCTATATTGTGATGAAACGCCCCCCCCCCCCCCCCCCAAAAAAAGGGGGAAACTGAATTCAGACAATTGGGGCTTATTAAGAGTCGAAAACAGTACAACGAATCGTCTTCATTCTCTAATAATTTAATGAAACGTCAAAACTCCCGCGCTTTGCGCGAGAGGAGGAGTAACTGAATTCAGACAAGGATTAACAGTCGAGAACGGTACAGCAAATCGACTTCTTTTCATAATAATTTAATGAAACGTCAAAGCTTTCGTGCTTCGCGCGGGAGGGTGGGGGGAAACCTCATTTAGACGAGTCGAGAACGGTACAACGAATCGTCTTCTTTCTCTAATAATTTAATGAAACGTCAAAATTTCCGCGCTTCGCGCGTGGGGGAGGGCTTCATTCAGACAAGGATTAAGAGTCGAGCAAGGTTCAACGAATCGTCTACTTTCTCTAATAATTTAATGAAACGCCAAAACTTCCGCGCTTCGCGCGGTATGGGGAGAAACTGAATTCAGACAAGGATTAACAGAAGAGAACGGTACAGCAAATCGTCTTCTTTTCATAATAATTTAAGGAAACGTCAAAGCTTTCGCGCTTCGCGCGGGAGGGGGGGGGGGGGAAACTTCATTTAGACAAGGATTAACAGTCGGGAAAGGTACAATAAATCGTTTCTTTTCCTAATAATTTAGAGGCCTATCACCCACACCCCCTAATGAGTGATTCGCTTGCTCACTACCGACCTCCCTAAAATAAGATCCTAGCTCCGCGCCTGCATTAAAATATACCAGCTATGACTAAATTGACGAAATAATTCGTATATTTATGTCGTCGAGGAAAATGACCATTATTTTGCGCTTATGCAAGTTCTATAGATAGTCCATAGGAAAGACAATTTAGCCTTCGGCCCCGGGTTTATAAGGTTAAATTTGTAGATATTGGACATTTAATTTTGTCGGTAATTGGTCGCTAGTTTTGTCGGTAATCGTTGGTCTCTACACCCCCCCCCCCCCCCCACACACACACTGAAAACGGTCTAGCGACGCCCCTGGATGAAACCACTATTATGCATCAGAAATAACATCAAAAGCATCATTA